TTAGAGTGATTATAAAATAATATATATTCAAAATATTTTTTTATTATTAACAACACACCTGACAGATATAATTTTTTGAAATTAAATTATTTATAGAAGATAATATTTTTTTATTAAGACCGTTTAATAAATTCAAATCATTAAATATAAGTACAAGAGTTTTGAAGACTTTGAAGTGAGAAATCTCTCATTAGTACTACAAAAGGATCACCTCCAAATTAACAGAAAATTCAAAGAAATCCTGAAAAGCAACGCCATTATTAGGGACATGCCATCTTTGACCGAACAACCAGATGTCAGGTCAACGTTTTGTTAGAGGTGTTATCAAATTTTAAAAATACAGAGATTATTATCTAGCATATCAGGAATGCTGCATTACCTTATTTGATTTATTTAATATAAATATACAATTATAATGTGATGTTGAAAAATATACTAAATTATCCTTGTGATAAGTTAAACTTTTAATATTAAATTAAAAAAAGTATATAAAATTCATAAAACTAATTCATTTTATTGGTTAAATATTATAAAATTTTTACATTTGATATATTATTAAATTACATCCAAAATAGTTAGTTATGTAATTAAAAAAATATACAACAAATGGAATAGTACGTAAAAAACTCATTATTTTAAAGATAATATTATCTAATTTGATCAAAATTGATAAATAATTAAAATTTTATATAAGATCATTACTCGAATAATAATATTTCATGCAAATTAAATTCCTTATTATATTAGGCTTAAATTGTCTCTTTGTTATTAACATTGATAAACTTATTGCATATTAATATTAAAAAATTCAAAATAAAATCTTATAGTTCATGTTTTAATTTCTTTTTTATTAAGTTAAGGTGATTGAAAAATAATATATGTTTTAAATATTTTCAATCATTTGATAATAAACTTCACCTTTACAATTATTGATGATTGAACACATAATCTTTTAAAAACTAACGATTTTTTAAACACCGATATAAATTAGTTCGTGCATATGTCTTAAATTTGATTTGTACGTTAAAGAAAGGGTGTGTTAGATTGGATGCACTTGCGGAGAGAGTGTTGTTGGTCCAGTTGAGCAGGCGGCAAAGTGAGAATTGGTATGGTCCACAGCCCATACGGATGCATGCCGCATCACATAATTGAAACCCTGTCAATTCATTCAATCAATTTGCTACCCCAAAATCTTGTACATTCATATTGACTTTCCACCACTTGGCAGTGGGAAAGGAATGCCCCCCCCCCCCAATCCACTTGCATATTATTAAGGGATCATAGATAGAGAACATTAGACTTGGGTTTGATGGTTTCATTTTGATTCGATTTAATAAGGTTATGTTAAAAAAAATTCAGATCGAGTCAAAAATTTTCAGATTATGAGTTTGGGTTGTATCGAGTTCAAATTTTGGATGAAAAATATTATATCCAATCTAAAAAAGTAATGTAATTATACATTATATATGTAGATATAATTATAAAAATATTTATCTTTATATTATTATTTTTCAATTAGATTCATATTTTATCAAATAAAGTTAAAAATTATATATATGTTTATGTTGGGTAGGGTGTGGATTTTATCTCAAATGGAGGGCCGAATTTCGGGTCGGTGAAGTCATCTTAAACTAGGATCGAGTTGGGTTTCGGATGAATCCACCTTAAACTCAAGTGGGGTAAAGTTTCTTGTGGAAGGTGTATTTTTATCGAGTCAGTTCGATTGATAAAAAACCCAACCCGACCCAAGCTCATCCCTAATAAAATCATAGATGATTTAGATAAATAAGAATTACTATTACGTAATTACTCATCCACTTATTCTCATGATTTTATTAAAGTCATCCAACTATTTTTTTTCCAGAATCATTACTAAATTTATGTTTTTGTATAACGGGTGAACAAAATATAATCAAATGTAAGTTTAGTGAGCATTTTAAAAATAATAATTAGATGGTCAAAATAAAATCAAGAGAATAATTGAGTGAATAAATACATAATTTATACTATTATTTATCTAAGCAAACAACAATAAAATTTTATACAAACAAAACAACAGGATGGAATGGGCGGGTCAAATTTTTATTTGTCTCTGTTTGATTTGATATACTCCTAATCTAATTTAATTTTGATTCGATTTTAAATAAAATATTAATTAGTTTAGAGTAAATTACAGGGATAACCACTTAATTATCGTCCCTTTCATTTTGACTACCGATGTTCCGATTTCGTCAATCAAACCACCTAACTATTTAAATGCTTCAATGAGACCACTGACCGTTAACATTTAACAGAGATGGTAATACGACAATTAACAAAATTGACATAATTATACTTTGGTTCCTCAATATTTACACATTTTATCAATTTAGTTATCATTTTAATTCAATTAAATAAGATGTTACCGGATGGATTTAAACAAGGGATTAAATATGAACTATAACCTCACAGCCCAATATTTTGTTTATGCAGCTAAATATGTTCTTTAATTGCTTTATTTACCATAGCATTTTCACAACAATTTATTCACAATTCTCAATCAGCATCTTCTTTTAACTAATGCCCTTTAGGATTTCTTTTGGTCCTTTAAATGTCTACTTTTGCAATTAGGCATTCCTAAGATAGATGTGGTCTGTTGGAGAAATCGATTCTGTTCTATACAATTTTGTTTTCTTTATTTTTGAAAAATTAATGCAAGCATCATGAGTCGAACTTGTTTCCAGGAATATTCCATCTTTTTATTCTATTTTGAATAAAATGATTTGAATTTTTCTTTTCAAGTTGAAAAATATATTAGTAAATCAGAACAAAAATTTGCTTTCCATGGAATTATGAAAATACATTTGGTAACCATTTTATCATAATAGAGTTACGAGAAATAAGATGGAAAATTCTCACATTTATATGGTTTCGAACTAAGATCAAAGATTACACATTTTAAAAATGATTACAAAATCCATTACGTCGGTGATTAAGATATTTGTTATTATCCCTTAAGGTCTCGGGTTTGAGCACCACGTATGTAGGAATACGAGCGTTAGTTATCAAATGATTAAGAGTCTTTGAACATATAATACATTATATTCATCTCATACTTGTAAAAAATTGTTACAAAAGAATATTTTTTTATATCTATTTGGAAATTAGGGTCAATTTATCAAATAAATTTAAAGTTAATATTATATTTATATGGATAGTGTTTTTTTAACTCAGGTCTGGAACAAAAAAAATATGTATATAAGTTGAATAGTCTAGGTAATTACAGGGTAGTATATGTTTAGAATTTTCTTAATCTACTGACAGTATATACGTTCTACAGACACATCGCTCGAATTCAGGACTTCTATTATATATTTTTAAATATAATAAATTTGCTTATTATACATGTTTTAAATAAATCCATTAACCCAAAACAACCACACCCATTTCCCCATTACCCGAAAGGCACAAACAATCAAGCCCTGGCCCAAGCCAAGATAAAACCTAATTTTTAATAAAACAAAACGTAATAGGCTTAATATACATATTGACCCTTGAACTTATCAATTTTTCTCAAATGACTCTTTTACTTTTTTCTGGATCAATTTAGTATCTTAACTTAAAATAGTTATTAAATCAATATCTGGTACGGATATGTCATTTTAACAACTAATCAAATTATGACACACACTTAATGAAGTGAATCTTTTCAATCCAAAGATTCGAGTGGAATATCAACGATTTCTGTAAAATTACAATCCAAATCCGTAAATTTGTTTTAAAATCATAATTCAATTACTATCTCCTAATAGGTTAAATATTCCCTTTTAATAAATATAAAATATTTTTAATTGAAAATTATATATAAAAAAGGTAATGAATTCGAAACCACTATGATTATAACTAAAAAACCTGAATTTATAACTTACAAAATTTAATATATATTCATGGTCTATCTCCGCACTTAAACTAGGATTCTTCATGGATGGTTAACCGTACTGTTTAACCTAAACGATCAGTTAATTGTTATTACGGTTACAAGATTTTTTTAATCGTAATCTAACCGTTAAAAAATGGTTAAACGTTATTAACGATTATGTTACTGCCTAAGGGCGGAACATCGTGAGGCCAAGGGGAGCCTTGGCCATGTCAATTATTTTTGTAATTATTAATTAATATTGAAAATAAATAAAGAAAAATTTACCAGGCATCCCTCAATTAACAAAAATTGCATTTATGAAAAATAAAAATATTTAACCCCGCTATAATAAATTCCTAGTTTTGCCTTTGTTACAACCTATAGGTTAACCTACAATTAACCTATTTCAATTATTTTTTTAAAAATAACACAACATAAACGTTTTAAAGTTTCAGAATTCATACTACATAAAAGTGTATCATTTAACACATACTTACACTAGTGTAAATGAATAAAATTAAAAAAAATGTAACACTTAACACATATTTACAACGGTGTAAGTATGTACATCTCCCAAAAAGTGTAGCTTTGGTGTAAATATATACATCTCCCAAACCCAAAAAGTATAGCACTGGTATAAGTATGTACATCTCCTAATACAATTATAAATTTAATTTATTAACAGTTAACCGTTTATCAAAATTCGTAGTTGTAACATTAACTTTAACCGTTAACCATAATTTTTAATGGTTCGGTTGACCAAAATCGTTTAACATTAACGATTCGATTAATTAACTTGTTAAATATAACACTTATACCGATTAACTGAAACCATATAAAAAATGTAGGCAGAAAAATGATAGCAACGGTGAAAGGTCGATGATTCTGTGTTCTTTAGGAATATGAGACATAAGGTCTGAACAACTCAATTTGGTAGGGCATGTAAATATCGATCTTCGTTGGGAAATACAACGATTCATGAATTTCTCGTGAATTGCATTACTGTCCTTTAAAATTTTCCCTAAGTTGCTTACCATTTTTGCTCAAGTTTTGTCCTTACAAGACGAGGCATGTGTTGAAATTTACTTAATTTTTAAACTCACACCAAACTTACCGAAACAAAGAATTCTACAGCGTCAAAACAACAACAAGAAGCCATCTTAATGCCTTAACTAGACCTGTATGATAACACGACAAGGTTGATAAGCAAGAAGCAAAGTGATGAAATTGCGAGATGTCGTGATAGATTGAGTGCAACCGATGAGGATTGATCAAATATTTGAGAAGAATCAACAGGCAGCGGCATCCCATCGCTGTTCAGAGTGCAGGAAGAAGGACTCGAACCGTCTTCGCTCATCATCATCGCTTGTAAAACTGTGGAAACTGTTCGAATGTATGCAGTTCGATTCTTCGCCAGCAGCCACGTGAGACCCATCAGCTCGCAATCTTTGTTCCGCATCTTGGTGGTCCTCTCATCCGCCTTGCTTGAATTCAAAGTATTCTTCTTGCTCAGCTGCACCATCGTTGTTTTCACATTAGAAGAAATACTAACACTTAGCAAGCTGATCATTAAACTCAAGACAAATTTGGTACATGCTTTTGAACAGCCAATTAATTAATTAGCTGGTTTTAACATTTGATAAAGAATCAATGTCTAAGCTTCCCTTTTTAATGTTTTTGTTCGAAATAATTTGGGTGATTATAAAATAATGCATGTTGAAAATTTCTTTCGGTCATTGATAAAACATATATCCTACTTTAACTATTGCTCGAATCCGAATCCTTTAAAGAAAATAACAATACTTTAACCACTAAGTTGTAATGGCAATGCATAAAAGGGCTATTTATCTAAGAAAAAAATGGAAAATTAGCATGAATTCTTCATTCACTAAGATCATATCCACCCTTTAAGCTAAAGAAAAAGAAAAAACCACTTTCCCAATTAGCAAAAACGAGTGAAAATCCCTGATTAGATCTTCAGATGAGAACAAACTAATTGTAAAGCAAGCATACAAAAGAAACAAGTTGAGAAAAGTTACCAAATGAAGAGTTTTCAAGCACTTGTTGCATCCCCCAAGACCGGGGAATCCATTAACATCGGAGCTGCTACTTAAGCAATTTCTTTCCAATCTCTCCACATTGTCGTCCCCGACGAGGTTGCCCTTCTGATCAACCAAGAAAGCATCAGGGCAAGTGAACGTGTGAAGCCTGATGCCACAGTTGCAGTACACCGCATCGCATGTCTCGTTTGGTTTAACCAACTCCACTCCTCTCCGTCTCAGAGCTTTCCCTAAATCATCAACACACGTTTCCGAGTCATCAGGCAACAATGGCATGTCGTACGACGGGTTGCCCTCCACAACCGCCGGTGAAACTCTTCCGGTCATGCCGAGTGCGGTGGAGGAGTAGGCGGCGTAAAGCCAAGACGCGAGTACGGGGCAACAGCGGCTGCGGTGTAGCTGCCCCGTGACACCGCTGTTTTTCTTAGTGCCGCATGCATTTTTAATGCTGTGAAAGAGCTCCTCGGGTAGGTCTAGTGGACAACCGGCGACATTTGATTGCTCGGGAAATGCAGGGATCGTTGCAGGCGGCGATGATGATGTTAGAGGAAGGAGTTGGACGCTTGCTGTGTCTGGGTGGGATATAGTGAAGGAAACAGGGAAAAGAAGGGTGACAAAGAGGAAGAAAGGGAAGGTATGTAGGGACATTGATTGGGGAAGGTGGCTCGGAAGAGAAATGGGGCGTGCCTGGTTTTGGGTGTTGGGTTGATGAAATAAAAAAGCTGGGGGAACTGATAATGGTGGTGGGGTAAGGGAGTTGGGAGAAGCGAAGAGATGGTAAAGAAATAAACTAAGAAGTGTGATTCAGAAAAAGTTTGGCAATATGCTACCTCCTCTGCATTTATTTATAGATTTTACAAATCAAGGTGTTATCTTTTAAATATACTTTTAATATTCTTATCTTTATAATTTAAATTAAATTTGTAATTCTCATTGTCAGTTAAAAAATACCAATATAATATCGGTTTTTTATATTTTAATGATCAAAACCTTATTTATTGATGGACTATTTCGGATTAGGTTTTATAAAAATCTATTATGACTAGGGGTGTTCAAAAAACCATTAATCATTAATTGTAATTGTTAATCAGTATAATCGGTATATTTAACATGTTAATTAATCAAATCGTTAGAAATGATGGTTAACGATTAATGTTACGATTATGAATTTTTATAAACATTTTTATAATTATATCGAGAGATGTACATACTTACACCGGTGTAAGTATGTATTAAGTGCTACACTTTTTGGGAGATGTACATACTTACACCAGTGTAAGTGATGTGAGTATGTGTTAAGTGCTACCTTTTTTTTTATTTATTCACTTACACTTATGTAAGTATGTGTTAAGTGTTGCACTTTTTTATAGTATAAATTATGAAACTTTAAAGCGTTATTGATATTTTATTTTTAAAAAATAATTGTAATAGGTTAACTTGTAATCGAATTATTAATAACGATTAACCGTTTGTGATTTATTGTTTCCTAACAATTAGATTACGGTTTGGAAAATCTCGTAACCGTTAAAACTAAACGATACGGTTAACCGTCCATCAACAACCCTAATTATGAGGACGATCATTCCAACCAAATTTTCTCTATTCACAAATATTAAAATTCGAATAATTGACATTGTTTTAAAAATCTAGTCTCTCATCCTACTAATCAATTGATTGTTGTTATAATATTTGATTCTTTAGTCTATAGTATATTCTAATATTTTATATTTATACTAAATTCCGATAAAAATTAAAGTGGATTTGAACCATATTTTTTAATTAATCTAGATTGATTACAAGTGATAGTATATGTTTGAAAGATTATCAACCATTTGATAATAAACACTTAAATATCATGCAATCGTTGATGCTTGAACCTATAACCTCTAGGGATAACAAATATCCCTTTAACTATTGAGGTCACTTGATTCGTGCGGATTTAAATCATACTAAAACAAAATGATGATGTTTTTCAATATTGATTTTTTTATCTATAGAACTTAAATTTAAGAAATTATTTAAAAGGTATTAAATTACTTATCATTCAATCTGTTTGACACTTTACATGTCTATTTTCTTCATTCAATTGACTAAAATCAATAATTATTTAAAAAGTAACGTTATCTTTGCCACTCAAAGCAATATATGTTAATTTATGTTTCCCTAATGTTAGCTCTTGTGCAATCATGTATAAAAGAATAACATGTACGATTAATATATTTATATGTTTTCATAATGTGTACAGGTGACAATAGAATTTAAAATACTCCACAAATATCACAATTTGTTTGTGAAGTCTTTAAATTACACTGACAACATGTGAGATAAATTGATTCAATGTGTATATATTGAGGGAGATCACGTGGATCGTGGCAAATAGTGGTACGGCACAGTTTGATTATCATTTCTTAATTCCCTGCCTCGAGCAGCGATAGAGCAAGAGGTTTTAAATTTTTTATTAATAATATATTTTAATTTTTAAAATTTTATAAATTTATTTGGTAACATTATATCTTAGGTACGCGGCTGTTATATATTTAGATGATAAAATGTTGGGCTCTATACGTATAAGTGTTCTCCCAAGGTATCGCATAGGAGACTGTGCTTCTAAGTTTTGAGCTGTAAACAAGATTTAAGCTGTCTAAGACTAATGTAATCTAACATTTAATATGTTTCTATTTATTTATGTCTTTTAAGATTCTATTCTACATCCCGCTAGGGATTGTAAACTGTAAATCACTTTCTTTTCTTTGGTCTTTTTCTTATTGGAAACCTTAGAGAAGTGTGTCACTGACTATTCACTTTCCACCTCCTCTCCCTCTCCTATCATAACACTCTACTCTCTCTTATATGTTAAAAAGGAAGTTTTCGTATTTTGAGATCTATTGTATCTTCGAAGACAAGTGTTGCACTTCCGGAGTCAAAGCAGCATATATCTTTGAAATTATTTGAACTTTTTATTATTTTTCGACCTATCGTTATTTTTTTACATGACAATAGACAAAATAAAAAAACAAGTATTGTAGCTCTAGAATAGAAGGTTCAATATACCTCAAGAATGATTTGAACCTTTCGACCCATCATCATCTCTTGACAAGACAATTGGTAAAATCGATAAATCTGATAAGACCTAAATCTATTGATTGAAGATCGTATTTATTCATCTTGTCAGGCTATAAACAATAATTATGATCCTAGGTTTGATACCATCAGCCACATGAGATCAATACATAAACCCATATACACCTTAAGAATATGGCTCTCTCTTTTTGTCGATCCATCCACTCTTCCTCTATTAGATTCTTTCATCTATCACTTACATTATCAGTTAACAACTAATCCTTTATCGGCTGCAACTCTCCTCTCAAACCAGAAGGGATGAGTTGCCCACGAACGACATAACTAAATTGTTACTATCAACAATTAGTGCGGTGAACGTGGAGCGCAACCAAATAGATTGAAAGTCAGCTAAACTGAAGTTTTTATAGCAATCCTTACCACAAACTTCATCGGAACATTCACCCAACTCGATGAGAAGATTTATAAATGTAATTAAAGAATGATCTCAACCTTCAGCTTAATCTTATAAGAGGTATCGTCTAAGAAGTGTGATGTCTATGAGAACTGCTGTAAAAAGACTCTGACCTATGGAGGATTGGCAAGTCAGTTTTAGATATTAAGATTCTTTTCAAGTTCTAAACAAAATTGTTGATGATTCTTTAGCCTTACTAGCTCACATTAATGATTTCACCGTTAAAAGAATATTAATAGATAATGGAAATGTTGTGGAACTGCAAGGGAATATCACATGTGATCCATGCAAAGCTCCCAGTACACCCTTGTGAAGCCTCAAAATCAAAATTTTGAACACATACAAGTAGACAAGGGAATCAATAACTTAGAATGTTTGCAGATTGGGTTGGAAAATTTGGACGTCTCTAGTGAAAGGGGTGTCGAGAAGGGCCAAGTTAGTAGAAAAACCACACAAGTTGTTGTACTCCCTAAACTGGAAAGACATTTATTTATAAGAACACTTGGACCCATTTAAACGTCTTTGTATGGTCATTAACAGATATACCATAAATAGCACATCAATAATAATACATTCGTTTAATGTCAAGCCCATAACAAATCCAATTAAGAAGATAAAGAGAAAGTTGAGAATTTGATGCACATTTTTAGAATATATTTCGTACGCTAAACTTTATAAGAAATCGAATGAGGAACATCATTTTGAAATTCACAGGGAGAAAACTATCAAATATGAGAAGACATTTGCTTATAAAAACGATGAAAAGGTTTATCAGGTCACTCTAGATTTGGCATACACACAGAAACATCATTGATAGAATCAACTATATGATAATATGAATGACAAAATCACATATGAGAATCAAATTTGCAAAATTCACAGAGGTACTATAACAACAATCATCCTTAAAGGTACGGTTGGGAATTGTTTATCGATAGGAATTAAATATAGGGTCACTTTGATTATCATATGTGTCTTATTAATTCCAGGTTAGTAGTTTTGAGTTGACTCAAATTGGTTTTAGATAAACCCAATTATTCATTAAGAAGCTTTGGGTTAAGTTGGGCTTGGCTTGGGTTGAGTTTGAGCCCATGTAGACTTAAAAAGGGTATTTTTGGATTGGGTTGTAAGGAGGAGGGACCAAGAGGCAATTATACCCTTGATAATTTCAAAGGTTGAATCCCATTAACGGGAATAAGGTCACACAACTGAGAAGAATGAATAAAGTTTCACCTAATATTCTTATTTTCTTTACCATTTTTGTCTTCTTTTCCTCTTATCTTTTCCTCATTCCTTCCCTAGTTGAAGCTCAAAGTAGAGAACTTTGTTAAGCTTTATCCCTAGTCAATGATTCTTGAGGTAAGTGTTGTAATCTACATCACTAGAGCTTAATTTCAAGCTCTCTTTCTCCTTAGCTGGCCATGGTGGCCATAGGTGGGGGTTTAGAGGGGTTTTAGAAACCTTAAGTAATCCAACTTGATTTTGGTAGACTTTAACCTGTAGGAAGCTTCCTTAACCTCCTTTCAAGTTTTAAGTTGAGTTAGTAACTCATTTCCTTGCATATGATTAGTGAAATAAGTAAAAGAGAGCTCCAAGAGCAAATGCAAGGAGAAACTTATGCTTTGTTGAACCTTAGGTTGTTTTCCAACAACATAGAACTATGGTAACACACTTATAACTTATCTATGCCACTTGTAGGTCATTAGATGTGTTTGACTTGCTTGTATGAGTGCATGAAACATGTAAGTACATTTTTGCTTGGAAATGGTTTTTGACGGATTTAATGTTAATAAAGCATGTAGAATGACTTATTATGATCCCTTTAACTCCCATAAGTTTTACATAACATTTAAAGACATTAAAAGGGCCTTGGGAATGAGTGAGTGTGATATTTTCATGTAAAACATGATATTTCTGGGTTTGAGCATTAATATTAGATGAACAATATCGATACCAAAGGAAAATGTATCGATACTATTGTTAAGCTACAAATTTTAGTGGCCAAAATTGGTCGGTACTCGGGCAGTATAGATACCACAGTATCGATACCACAAAGAAGAAGTGTTGATACTCTAAATAAGGGTATCGATATTGGAATTAATTTTCAAACATTGAATGTAATTTTCGTACAGATACTCAA